AAGTCCGTTTGAAGAGGACCACTGACTAATTTCCGACAGAAAGCTATTTAATTTGGAACAATCTGACTGAGAGTTGACAGGCATAGAAACCGAGAGGTCATCGGCATACTTAACAAAAGTGGCTACATCAGAATGAGGCAAGTCATGTAAGAAAAACGAGAACAGAAAGGGAGAAAGAACAGCACCTTGAGGAACACCAGCTAAAGTAAGTGAGGTAGTGGAGGATTTTCCATTGTAGACGGTGTACTGCTTCCTTTCAGAAAAATAGGAATGCAACCACTTATTTGTCCAGCTTTCAGCCTGTGTTGCAGCAAGCTTACTTAGCAAGAGAGACCTGGGAACAGAGTCAAATGCAGATGTGTAATCAAGGAAGGCACAGCGAACGTATTTAGCTCCTTTATCTAAACTAGAGACTATGCTATGGTGGAGGACAACAGCGGCATCTAACGTACTCCTACTATGTTTATAAGCAAACTGGTTGGGGTCGTTGAAAGGTTTTAAAGAGGGATCAAGATTAAGTAAAATAAGTCTTTCCATAACTTTCAAGAAGGGTGAGGTAATTGAAATGGGTCTAAACTTAACATTAGGTCCACTTGTTGATTTAGGCACTGGAACGATCTTGATGTTTTTCCATGATTCAGGTATAATACTTTTGGAAAACTAGGATAGCTGGCCACCTCTAAAGGTGTCTACCAATTCAACTGCTCCTGTGAAGCCAGTTACATTGGCCGATTTCCTAGGAAACTAATTCTCCACGTTCAAGAACGCCTACCAGTGTGGCTGAACAAATATGCTGTTAAAACCATCAACAGTTCCAAAACTAGGTCACCTCTTCAAGCAGGCCACCAAGTCAGCTAGCATTGAAGAATTCTTCTCTGTCATCTATCGGGTATCGAATAAATTACCAAGAGCCTCCAAATACCAAAGACTGCAGACAGTAGATGCCATTCGAATTCGCGTAAATCAACCGGAGCTCTGCATGGAAAAGTAACAGGTTCGGCCAATTTTCTTACCCTGGCCTACTATCAAGCCTATAAATTCTATGCTACTTCTCTAATTTATCTAACATTCCATTTAGTGTAATCTTTCGATACTATTGATTCAATGTAACGTTGGAACAAACAGACGAGCACACTCTCTGATAACAAATGAGAGAAAAAAGAAAACCTCACTGAAACTCTGAAGCAAAACAACTAACTACCCAACGAACTTCATCAACCAAATCAGCACTTACATTAAGTATGGTCGAAAGCGTATTCCGAAAACATCGACCTAAACAGTTGTCATCCCATAAAGAGCGGAGACGTCAGATGATATCAGAAGAGTACTCAATCAGCTCGACATTAGAGTCTTCTTCAAAACATCAGACACACTTCAAAGTAACCTTGCCCATATAAAAGATCAACTCCCTAAAGATTCTCTATGTAAGTGTGTCTATAAAATAAAACGCTTGCTTGGAATGTGATGCGATATACATCGGACAAACATCACGAGAAATCGAGATCACAAGAAATGAACACTGTAGAGTATCTGTTCGACCACCAAGAAATCCAGTTGAACTGAAAAAGCTGAAAAAAACCATCAGAAATAGGTTAACACGCTACAGAATCAGGCCACAATATTGACAATATTGAAATAATCCAGAAAAACTTCAGAAATCACAATGAACGGCTAATATCAGATGCACTTCATTTCAAATGGAATTCAAATTGTCTGATTGGGAATGTGATGGACTAAAACAGAATTTGTCCTGATTATAACACACATACACACCCTCCCCATGAAGTGACAAAATCAACACGAATGTGATAAGCAATCTCATTATGTAAACACATGCTACTTTTATAATTTTACACACTTATCAAATCCAACGATCTACACATGATGGTTTTGTTATCTTTACCAATTGGCCAATTCGACAACGAAAAATGACCCCTTCCTGAGAAGAGATGATTAAGTTGTTATATATATGCTGAGGCTTTGTAAATCCTGGTTTAATAAAACTTTGATAAAGCTATTAGCATTAAATAGAAAAACGTCAGGAAACACAACTATATCGTTTTGTTTTTCATTCATTGGGAAATACAAAACCTTTATTATAATGAATATCATACACCCAATCCCCACATTTTTTCAAACTGTTAAAAGTGAACTTGGTTTTGAACATATGTAATTCAAAAAAACATTAGTGTTGTTAATGACAATAATTCTTTGATTATTACTGTCATATAACTGTGGAAGCCGATGACGAATTTATCGCAGAGAACATACTTTGTTCATTAATTAGTTGTGTGAAAGTAAATAATATCTGATACCCATTGCACATGAGGTGATTCCCTTGGTCTAGTGGGTAACACTCGGGAGTTTGAAACGATAGATGCAAGGCTCTAATCTCATTGGGTACAGCATTACACACAATCCCTGCGGATTGCAAGTGTACATCCAGTTAACGAGTTTTGAAAAGGACGAAATGCGCATTCTAGATTCCATTCTATTTATCTCTGTGATAATTAAAAATAACTTCACAATGAGATTTTGATATTCTATCCATGTCGCATTTTTAGTAGTTCATGTCAACTGACGCAAATGAACACTGTACGTAAGTGAATAAATGTTAACAAAGGTAAAGATGTGGCGTGATTCAGATTCAAATTTATCTTTACTTATAGCATTTAGCCACGAAGCTTCACTAGATTAACTGTCACTGTGCCCTGCAACAACTGGATATCTTCTGAGGAGGGATCACGGCTAAATTTGTTTTTGTCATCAAGAATAGACATCATTTTAGATTTGTAGTCACTTTTATTCATAATGACGACTCGCACGCAATTAACGGATTTAGGCATTCATGCTGAGTTTGTAGATTTATATCACCAACTTAAACCTCTTACAGCAACATTCGATGAAGATCGGGGCTGGTTTAAGGCCGAGATGGTGGATATAGCTCACCAGTTTTTAAACAACAACCCAGAGGAGAAAAGTACTTTAAATTTCCAGCATTTCAAAGCCTTGAAAGAGCTACGGAAAATTCTAATATAATTATTACGAAAGCTGATAAAGGTTCTTGAGTCGTCCTTATGAATAAAAGTGACTACAAATCTAAATGATGCCTATTCTTGATGAAAAAAGCAAATTTAGCAGTGATCCCTCTCCTCAGAAGATATTCAGTTGTTGCAGGGCACAGTGACAACTCATCTAGTGATTCAGATTGATAGGAAGCAGCCGAAAATTGAAATTAACATTAAGTTAATAGCTGCAGAGGTAGAATGGCTTATTCCACATTTATTGTGCGTTGTGTACAAGAAATAGCCTCATTGGACAACTCATTTAGCCTTGAGCCAAGTGTCAACCAATCAGAACAATTGATTTTCCTCTGACCTAACCAAACTTTAATGTGGCTAAGAATGTATTTGATTTGTTTTCCCTTCATAATGGTTCGTTATCACGTCTCCTCTCTTCTCTCCTCGTTTACATATGGATAACCTCATAATATATTGAGACTCACCAGCAGTGTGCGTCCACCACTCCAACACAGGTCGAAGCCACGACCTTCAGAAGATTACGAGACTAAGTTCATTGATCACTCAGCGATTTCGGTTGGAATTCAACCAACCGTGAATTCCAAATTAATCAATTCGTGATATACCTCTACCCTCAATACTGCCTCCAATTCACCTAAACACGGTGGAACAAACTGGATACGACTTCCCACTGAACAGCTTCAGGAAACCCATTCATCTAATGGTCGTCAATCAACTGGAAATTGATATTTAGATTATATGATTCCTGCGGATTTGGATTAATTTAATTCCAATAGTTAGATTTCGTCAAAAACCAACATTAGTTACAGTGACGACTGAAAATCAGGGAGAACTGGATCTATTCAAACTGTCAATTAACACTGAGGCGCAGTCAATGCTGCATGTGACTCAATAACTCCCCGCAATTCGATGTAGTTGGCAATGAGCCACACCTAATGTGTGAGGAGGGCTGGTTTTACTATACTACCCGAACCTCAGTGTTCACAGCAGGGTTCGAACGCCCGACCCACTGGTTGGAAGACAAGCGCCTAAACTAATGAGCCACAATTCCATTGAGGCAAGCTAACTGAGGGTAAAGTGTAGAAAGTCAAAGGCTGAGAACAAATCAAATTCATTAAATTTACGAGCCTGGCTCCACCTACTTCAGCCCTCACACAAAAGTGTGACTCATAGCCTGGTAAATGAAAAATCTGTTCCAGATACCAGATCGGTAGCTGCTACCATAATGTAATGATTGAGCTGACACATTACAATGAGCTACACTGAATGGAAATAACGTACCTGCAGCTTCTACAACACCAGAAACGTCTTTTGGATAGCGGTCACACAAAAGGCAGTGTAGTCGTTTACACTTTGTTGGGGGGTCTGTGGGCAAACTTGTAGTGCTAGCGAATAAGGATGTGACAATACTATAAGGTATTTCCCTCAGAAGACCACCAAGCCAGCTATGCTAACTCTCCACTCTGGAGATATGGGTTTATAAACTGTCGATCCCGAAAACTGCATATGCTAACTTACCTTGCAGAGGTCGATTTAGCCGGCAGCAAGATCTTAATATGTAGGCGATTCCAAAATCCACCTAATACAGGCTCTCCGGTTACGTAACACTAAGCAGAAACCAACTTTGCATGGTGCGAGCAGCCGTAAGTCACAAAGTCCTACCACTGATTGCCTCCAACCATCTAATACGTGATGGCTAGCCACCTAATGGCATGATGGCCACACATTGCATGCTTGACTGATGATAGAATTCAGTCTGCATCGAAGATAGGACCAGACACACACTTTACACTAGTTACTGACTAGTGTTCATTCAAAGTTCTACCCCACCGCTAACAACAACAACAACACCAGTATGAGCTGCTGCTGACTAAGACTACTTCAAAACTCATTCCTCAATCCCAAAGCACGGCAAAGTCTCACCACACACACACACGCACACACACAAAATATATCGCACACACTTTATTCAACTCTAGTCTATAAAACAGAAGACAGAAAGAAGATTAACAAGTCCAAAGTACTTCTTTTTCTTCTCAAATCAAACACAGTTTTTTTTTAAATAACAACTGCCAAACGAAATAAATTTTGAGAAATTAAAAGATCAAAAATATATGAGAAAACAAGAAAGACAAAAAAAGAAAGTGAAAAAAACCAAATTATATAGTAAAATTATTAATTAATTTACAAAGCAATGATGATTACCACTTTGTGAAAGCATAATGAAAAAGCAAAATAATGATAATAATAATAACTCTGACGGGGAAAATACTAACAGCCATTTACATATGTATAATTATATATATATATATATATATATATATATATATATATATATAATATATTATGTCTTAGATAAAACATCACTTAGAATTTCCATGTCATGATATTATGATAGTAACAATAATAATAATAATAATATATTGCTCTTATTTTTGTGTATGAAAGTTTCTTTTTTTTAAAAAAAATTAACCCTCATTAACAGGATGAGGTGTTCGTGTTGTCAACAGAGTGGTATTATTACCGGGAATATTACCACCACCACCACCACCACAACCACTGGCAACGCCGCCTCCGACACTGCCAAGTCCATGTTGTTGCCTGACAACTTCAGATGGTACAGGTGGACGTACAATTCCAAATGGTTCAATATTTTGAAAATCTGATAGAAAATCGTCGAATTCTTTCAGCATTCTCTCATGCCTTTCTAATTCATCAGCTAGAGCATCTGCATCGAATAAAGACGATTGAGCTGTATTACTACAACCAGTTATATTAATATTGTTATTTAGATTATTAACTCCAGAAACAGGATTCAAACTGCTGTTGTGACTGCTGCCGGTGCTATTTATCTGTGGAACTTGAAACAGGTCAAGATTGGCTCGTTCACGTAACTCAGCGAAAAGATGAGTTAATCGAGCTCCACTAACACCAAATGTACTGAAGGGTAGCTGAAGTGGGACTTGTTTACTCAGGATATCTTCATCTTCACTTGCAGAATCCCTGTCCTGTGGTGAACTAGTACACTGTGCGCGTAAATTTCTCATCAATTCTAATAAATCAATTTCATTCAGAGAATTACGTGGATTATTCATTGTTTCAATTTCTTGGCCTGAATGATTTCGTACTACTACTTCTCCATGGATAGCAGCAGCATTAGACGATGATGAGTCATTATTGACAGAAGAATAAGGATTGAAGGCTTCTTCACAATCATCTTCATCATGTGATGAATCTGCGTGTTCTTCTTCTTGTGTTTCAAGAATTCCAGTATGCTGAAATCGTCGAGCTACCTAAAATTTCAAGAGAATTAAACAGGACAAAGAAAATTAGAAACCTTGATATGGTTAGGAAGCGTTACTGGTTCATGTGAGTAGTACTCAACTACCTATTTACCACAATCGATCAGTAGTTTTATGAGGATAAACTCGAACACTTACTATTTCATCATAACATAGAACACTGTCACGAAATGACTCGATAGCTCCGAAATACATACATTCATAATTTCAAATTACTGTAACAAATGCGAATACAAAGAATCTGAAATCCAATTAGCAATCTGCAATTCAAACACAGTTCGACGGGGTGGGATTTCACCGTACCTTCCTTTTCAAGTCGAAATTATTCAGAACACAAGATGTCGTACGCTTGATGCCATGAAATCCGACCGATAGCTGCTACCATGACATGGTGGTCGCCGGGCTTGCACATCGCGATGACCCAACAAGCTACACTGGCTGGAACCAATGTTCCTGCAGGTCTTACCATGTCAGAAAGGTTGTTAGGATAGTGATTAGATTAAAAGCAGTTACCGGAATAGTGTAAGAATCTTTCTTACACTCTGCTGGGGGTCTGTGGGCGAAGTCGTACTGCTGGGGAATAGGGGTGTAACAGCAGTGAAGTATTTCCCTCAGATAACCAGCATTCCAGTCAGCTATGCTGTCTCTCCACTCTGGAGAGAGGGGGTTAGAAAAGGTCGACCCCAAAAATTGTACATCCCTACTTACCCTACGGTGGTCCATAACCTGCGGTAAGTTTACTAATAAGGAACCAAACCAAGAAACCAGTTCATACAGGCCGTGTGTGGCCGGCCTCAAGCAGTTGTCCCCTGGGCTCTTTGGTCACGCAACACTCTCTCTGTTTCAGGTACCCGAAGAATCAATCAACTTTCAAGGTGTGGGCAGCTGGGAAGTAACAACCGCCCACACACTTCCCAAAGCCTTCCGGATGCCATGAAACCAACAAATAAAGCATGAATAAAAATCCCTTTATACTACTGGTTGATGAAAACAGGTAGTTGAATATCACTCAGATTAACCAGCAATGTTTGTCAGCTAGCTAGATCAAAGTAATCTAAAAGCCAGACGGCCGTTTCGCTCACCGGGGTTCGAGAGGCGCCAGAGGCGTACCCGACTGGACTCGGCCCAGAGAACCAAATCAGTTGAAAAGACTTCGACCTAGACAACAAACACTGCTGGTTGATGTGAGTGATATACAATTATTCATATCAATCAAACAATAAATCAATTAGAAGGATATAACGGCACACAAAAAATTTAATAATAACATAATCAATCGCTAGTTACTCATAGTTCATTTTTAATCAGATTTCTCAGACTTCTAATGAGTCACATGACAGACAAAATGAGTAGGAATGTGTATTTTCCACATAGTCCCTTCGCAGAAAACTGCAGCAGCTCATTCAAGATGTCATACTAAACAACAACAAACAAAAAGGTACAGAAACGAAACTCACTTAAATATGAGGGGAAAAGAATAGTTACATGAAGAAACTTGAGGATTTAATGAATCTTGAAGACTACAAGGAATAAATGCGTCTGGATCACTGAAAATTATTTTGAACCACACACAAATAACAGCCTCTAACCACTCGTTCTCACCATCTCAAAGACCCAAGCAAGACATCTTGATAGGTGATGCTGTTGGGATCCAGCCATTGGAAATGTGAGGAAAAATACCCTGATTAACAATGACAGAGTGTAGTGGTGTAATGTATTTGCTATTGGATTCCAATCTATTAACTCAAAATAATAAATTCACCTTATAATCAGATAGTTCTTCACCAGATCACTCACTGTATACAACAGTGTGCACTGATAAATGTGAAAGCTTTACGGCTATGAGACCTGATCATTGGAAGTGGAAGACATGAAAAGCCAGGCTAGCTGTGTCTGATCCATAGGTGCCTGCTTCCTGTCTCCTATGTCCGACGGTATAACAGAGTGATAAATTTTGAGATTAGGCGTTGAGTGTTAGGTAAAGAGGGGAAGTCAATCAATGAGGTTGTGAAGTTACATCTAGCCATCGCCTTCCTCGACGGACAATGTCAGCTGGCATAGAATGAGGTTGCAGAAGAGCTAGTTGTGGTCAAACCAAAACATGGAATCACTCCGTGAAATCTTTGATAGTTAGTTTTAGCCATATAGGGATATGTAGGCTTCCTCGTTGGAGTCCACAGGATACTAAGAACCAACGGCTGGAGACCCATTGATGATATGGGTCAAAATCGTTCGCAATGGTGTAGACGCATTCACACTTTGTGATCTCCTACAGCCACTAAACCTTCATATTTTTCCATGCTCCTATTCTTCCTTCATTACATTTCTACTGATTATTGTTCTTTTGAATCTCTTTTTTCTCTCGTTTTTCTGCCCTTGAGTGGTACATAGAGTGTGGCAATTCGAAGCGCTGTACTTCCATACAAAGTTCTATGCTGAAACGAGTCAGTCAAGTATGAAAGCTATAGAAAAACAACTGATTATTGTTTTCAATTGGTGAATGGTGACTAGCAATGGAATCAAGGAATCCAGCATTTCGTCCTATCTAGGACTGATCAACTGGATGTGCTTGTATTCCCCAGTGAGAAATGCTGTCCTCACCAAGACTTCAACCCCGGGGCCTGTAGTTTCAAACACTAACCAACAAGTAACTTCAAGTTACAACATGACGAGACATCGTCGAAGCATCTGTACACAAGGAGGCGACATGTAAACCTAAGAGACCGAGTAGGACTTCAGTCTAAATCATCAGCGGGAAAATCTAAATTGAATTAAACGATTACTGTTTTAATTTAATTTTAATTTAAGTTCTAACATTTGAAATCGAATCAATCCAAATCCCCCAACAAATAACATAATTTGAATAATTGTAAGCTATCAAAAGTTCTCCAATTTATAACGTTTTTTTGTGACAAAATTAACTAAGAGATTACTTGTTCCATAAAGCTTTTAATTATAATTTACACTGATATCTCTGGTATCATATACATCTTTTTCCATTTCTTTTTTTATTAGCCTTATTTATCTCCTGTTACTTTTCATTTTGTCACGAAATATGACAAGTTGAAACGATAAATAAAACTGTGTGTTGTGAGAAGATTGACGATGATTTGTCTCTGTTTATCCCAACAGTAAGTCAACTGCAGTCAATAATATTGACTGATCAGACTGACACATAAAAATATTACTTAATATGAGTGAATGTTATGACGACTTAAATATAAATAATAGTTGGAAGACTTAATAGAGAAGATTTGTAGCTCAGGTTGGATGATTTGCAATTAGTAGTGTTCTCCATCAATGTGGAACGAAGCCATTATCGTTCCCATCTTTAAAAAGGGTCGACGTAATTCGCGTGACAATCATAGGGGTGTCAGTCTGCTACTAGTCGCGTCTAAAATATTGCCTGCTGTCTTGCCTCCCAGGCTGTGCAAAACACGTGAGGGATTGATTCGCAAACAGCAGGCTGGGTTTCGCTCAGTTCATGGATGCATTGATCATGTGTTCACCCTTCGTCAGTTGTTGGAACACCGCCACATGTATTGCAGGCCAACGATCGTTGTGTTTCTTGATATTACGGTTGCCTTCGATTTGTTGGACAGAACTGTGCTCTGGAACTGTCTGTTAGAGAGAGGTGTATCTTAGAAATTTGTTAACACCTTGAAAGCCCTATACAGAAACACCTTAGGTAGAGTGAAGGCATACAACCAGCTATCACCACTGTTCCCAACCAATAGTGGGGCTAGACAAGGTTGCCCAATCTTCCAATTCTCTTTAACTTTGCCATCGATGACATTCTGGAGTCAGCTCTGAAGGATGTGCGTGAAGGTGGTGTAGATCTGCTACCTGGAGCAAATGAGCAGTACACACGCCCTTTGGTCGATAGCCGGATATCACATCTACACCAGAGACAGCGTAAACTGCCACATACGAAACTAGCCCTCTGTATCCGTGGTGAGATTTCGTCAGAGATCAACCCGTTGGGGCTGATAGTACTTCCCAAATAAGTGAAGCGGTCAACACACTCTACCACTTCACTCCCTATTTCTAAACTAGGAGTCAGTGTGGTCCAGTTCTGTAACATCATCTTACATTTGGCGGGAGCGAATCGCATGCCAAATATTCGTAGATTGCCGCTCAAGGTGTTCAAAAAACTCGAAGCCTTCCTGAGCATCATAGAAAAGGAGCATAGAAGACAGGGCGTCAAGTGAACACAGAACAAGCGCTAATCACCACCAACAGGATAAACTTGAAGAAAGTCACTTATTTCATTTACCATCTAAGCAACATCCTCTCGACTACAGCCGGAACGGATGAGGATGTCAAAGTCCGCCAGAATTGGGAAAGCAAGACAGACGCCCCCCCCCGCGCCATTAGTCTGAAAACAGTGTGGAAACCTACTGCACTCAGTGTAAGGAAGAAGGTTCAGAGCTTCGAGACCAATTTTAAGTCAGCTAATCTATATGGTTAAGAGACTTGAGGCATCACCAAAGGCATTTAAAACAGGCCTCAAACTTTTATCAACAGTGGTCTTCGCTGCATACTGAAGATCAGATGGCCGGTCGGAAAAGATAAGTGACAAGGAACTCTGGGAACTGACTAACTAAGAACCTGCTGTCCAAGACATATATGGAAGAAAATGGAGATGAACAGGACATATACTGAGGAAACCATTGTAAATGACATCATGCACCAAGCCACTGAGTGAAACCTAAATGGGAAATCCCATATTGGACATTAAAGGGTGGTGTCATAGAGGAAATCGTGGGAGGAAGAGATAAAAGCTTATGGGCATATCGTGGAACCAGATAAGGAGGACTGCAGAGAACAAAGTGAAATGAAGATGTTCTGCTGAATCCCTATGCTCCACTCGTTAGCCCAGGGAAATACTTACTTTTACTTTACTTCGGCTATCTCCTACGGGAGGATGAGCCGGCTTCATGAACCATGAAGTTTCATGGGAATTGGGTACGAGTGATGTCCCCAGCATCGCTCGGCCTTTTGTTTGAGGGTGCAGCTCTAGCCTTTACACAACCAAGTGTGACCTACAAGGCAGTAGGAGTGGAGTAGGGAGTCCACTATCCATTGGCAGCCGGTGACCAGAGTCCGGTTCATACGCCTTTTTGAATGGGGCCAGTCATCCAGGGCATCCAATAAGCCCTTTGTCCATACGTCTGCCGGTGAGCTCCGGTGAGCTTCATACGCCAGTTGTTGGAGGTTTGGAATCAGGGTTTAGCCATCTCCCCTAGACTGTCATCCAATGGACAGTCAACCCGGTGAAGAGCGCCGGGCATCCGCTTTTGCCCTCTCACTTCGGTGAAAAAAAAACACCTCCGCCACGTGAAGGCAGTGAGTAGGACTTCCTCAGGAGAGGCTATGTAAGACGCCCAGTCATATGGGAGCATTTCAAGAGGTGTACGGAGGGGTGGCCAACCCGCAGCGCAAAACACCCACCCCCGACCATCCTGAGGCTTTGGAGGCCCAGGGAAATAGAATAACAACAAATGTGTGTCGAATACATTCCAAATACACTATGAACCGAGATGTTGAATAAATTAAATAAGTAAAAGAGAGAAGGAGACACGCATATGCACATCAAATAATGTAACGACATATTATGATGTACAACATCAACGGCATAAGCTATTGAAAAAATTACTCCGGAGGACAATATCCGTTCATAGATGATTATCATCGTTATTATTAAAAAGACAGACGCGTTACATTATGGACACCAAGAAAGGCACCACACACAACGGCATAAAAGGAGAATATGGATTTAATAAATGAGTGAGGTAATCCAGAAAGCAAGCAAGCATACTTATCGAGGTCATTCATCTGTCATTATTTCGTGTGACTTCAAGGGGGGGAGAGGAAGGAAATTGCAGCATATTTGCACTTGATTAATTTCTTAGCCATATTTGATGACTCCATGAGCTACTCATTCGAATTATCTCCTGGACCCAATCGAGAGAGTAGTGATATATCAACGGATGTTAACCTAACGCAGATATCCTTCATCCCACGACGCCACTTCATGGGCTGACCACCTCTCCACTTTTTCCATCCTGTCCTTGGGCTACCGAACAGCAATTAGTACGGGGCCCCGGCGATGAAAGTTATAGTACATGGCCAAGCCACCCAAGACAGTGTTTCAAGATGACTACACACAACGAAAGGTAACATTCACCGTAACCAAACATGTTACGAAACTTCAGAATTGCATACACCATGATATGATCGAACACATGCAATTCTACAAAGACAGCCATAATCGGATATGCAGGATTACAACACATCCTCAGCTCGGAGAGGCCAGGTTTTGCAGGTGTAGAGCAAGACTGCACGCACTGAAGCATTGTAAACTCGACGTCCCGACAGTGCTAGAGGTGACCCAAATTCGAATTTTTCACCCTAGCTTTCACTACATATTTAGAGACTTCATTCGACACACCTTCGCCAACATTCAAACAACTACCAGATAAAGGAACCTGTCGACAACCTGCAAAAGTGAGTGCAGGAACACACCCCTGTCAATCTTGCCATAATACATGAAGCGAATAACTAACAAGTGAAAAACAATTCAGGAGAAAGGGAGAAAACAACCATGACTTACTCGTTCAGCTGACTTCTTGCTTAACAACTGACTGGCTGGATCAAAGTATTCATCAGGCTCAGTTTCATATTGCTCAAATGCGAAAGCTGGCTTTACCCGACTATATAAAAGAAAAAAAAAGATCCATGAAAATAAGTTACAAATACTGAAAACCAGAGAATACTGGATAGCTACTTAGTCCTAGAGTTTAGGACCCTTCAACAATACGAACCTAGAACCTTCAGATTACCAGGCAAGCTCGTTGACCATTCATCCACCGTCAACCAATGCCATAGACAGGTGTTTGTCCCCACAGCCGACCTGGTGAACCCCAACAGTCACGACTTCTTACAAGAACTCTAGGCAAATCTGTCCCGTAGTCAGTCACTAGTGAATGCATAGGCCATTAGATCCCATCCCAGAGGCTGAATGATCAACAAGCTCACTTCGTATAACCTGAACGTCCTGGGTCCGATCCCTGGTGGGGTGATGGGTGTATTAGAGTAATTGCTTCGAAAATCCCTCCTGAACAATCTAATTACAATATTTATACTTGTTTGAATGTTTCAACTAATTTTGTAAACATTATCCGTTTCCCCCTCCCTACACTGTACATCATTAAAAGTTAATTGGTGGATGGTGACTAGCAGTGGAATCCAGGATAACGCGCATTACGTCCTTTTTCGGACTCTCTGTCATCTGGATGTACCAGCATTCCGCAGTGAGTGATGACGCCCCCACCGAGCCTCAAGCACAGTGCACTTAGTTTTAAACGCCAAAGCATTATCATTGTTCTATCACATGTTGATTTGCGCCACTTTATTTGTCTTAGTCACTGTTTAATCTCTAATTTTAATGCTTCTCTTTGCGATTATGAGACACACTGATGTGTTGTTTTATGATGTGATTTTTTCTGAGTGAATCAAAGTCAGTCTGGTCTATTGGAAGCGTTGGAATGTGAACCTTCTGGAGAGGTTTTCATCTCAGGTTTCTAAGAAAATTCTGCTTGCTTTTTCCTTACAGTTGAGCTTTCGATAACTGATTTTGTAGCTGTAATACCTTTTTTGTACTTAAGAAATTGATTGGACTGTATAGCCATCTAACGGCACTGTTGAGGTAATTGTGAGTTTTGTTGAACAGAATCACAGATCCTGACAACGAATAATTGTCTTTTTACTGTCTTTGGAGAGATTTGTGAATGTGTGTCTCAAGGAAGTTTCGTCAAATACACAGTAGGACGCAGAGATCATTTTCCTACACTCAGACCACAACGACTCGGTTTTGGTCGTAACAATGGGTGCGTACTGATGAAGAGTCACGTGCTACGACGAGACAGCTGTCTAGTACTTCCTGCTAGTTCCCAACAAAAATACACTCACCATGGTAATTTGGACTGTTCGAATTTAATGAAGTCGACAGCTTGAGTAGGTTTTTCAGCAACACGAACATGTTTCTGTGACTTTTGATTGTTGTGGAGAGAGTGACAGTCAACACTCCGAAGACTGTTGGCATCAAATATCTGCAAGGTAAAAATAAAAAGTATTTTCGAGTTAAAAGTCAACGGACTGACGAGTTGAGTTTTAAAACATAAAAACATATCCAGAAAAGCACAGTTACTACACTCCGCATAGCACACAAAAGGGGATTTCCCTTGGTGATAGAATGTCTGTCTGTCTGTTTTCGATATAGAACTTTGTACATACATGCGGCAGTTCAAGTCGCCACACTCCACTCAATGTAGCACACAAACCAAGAGAAGAAAGTAGAAGAAATGCATAATAGAGACAGTAAACAGAGGTGTAAGACAAAGGAATAGTAATAACGAAGAACGATATAGTTTCATTGGAAATCCACAAGGAGTGGATGCATACGCGCTAGTCACTGAGAACGATTTTGGGCCATGTCACCAATTGTTTCCAACCATTGGTTTTTACCGTCCCGAGGACTCCAACCATCTCAGTCGATGTAATTTCACAGCCTCGTCGATTGTTTTCCCCTCCTTACCTAGCACTCGACCGATGCCTAACCTTAATATTGCTCACTTTATTATACCACTTCACACGGGAGATAAAGCGTAAGCACCTATGATCAAAGACAACTAATCTTTTCGCCAGAGTACCTCTCGGTCGACAGAATCGAATGCCGCCTTTAGGTCAAGAAATATAAGGATTGTTGGGCGCCGGTAGGAATGCATATGTTCTAGATTCTGTCGAAGGGTGAAGATATGGTCAATACACCCTCTTCCTCGTCCTGCCTGGCTCTCCCGTGTTTGTGTCTCCTGAGCACCACTAAGTCTACGCAATATTATTGAACCTAAGACTTAAGATACTATATTAGTCAAGCTAATCGCTCTGTGATTCTCACAGGAAGACTTGTCTCCCTTCTTGTATATGGGGATGGAATGCACAATTATTTATCATCCGGATAAATGCTCACCAGCGATAACATTGTCTGGTGCCAGTTACTCCAAAATCACCAATTGGTAGAATGCGGAATTCATGGGCAGGCCACTGGATCAGATCCCAGTGACTGAATGGCCCACAAGATTGCCTTGTAACCCAAAGGTTCTGACTTCGAACCCCGGTGAATGCGTACTGATGAGGAGCCCCGAATGAGTACGACATAGCTCTCCAATGCTCCCCAGCTTTCAGTGGTTCTCTAACTGATATTAATCCCTTGTCAAACTTTAAAAAAAAAAACACTCACGTTTCCACAAAACACATCTGAAAGTGAAAATTGTTTTGCGGGTAATCATCAAATGGTAAAAACAATAATGAAAAACAACCTTTAAAAAGAAAAACAAAACCAAACTAGAATTATTATTCACCTCATTTATTCCATTTTTACCAGATAAATTAGCCTTGGTTACACCGTCAACAACAGGTATCAGTTTATTTGTGGGTCCATAGTGAATTTGAGTACGATAATGTACAGTTGTACCCAAGTAAACCGGAATTAAACCATCTGCGATAGTCAGACCACCGCTGCCACTACTATCAGAGCCAACTTTAGTTGTTTTATCCGTGACCGTAGTAGCAGTAGTAATGGGCGAACCTTTTTCTCCAGGAGATTGCGGTACTGCTAAACCAGAGAATACACGACCAACATTATAGGATTTCGGTGAAGCTCCCAGTCTGGATAGATCACTAGGACCACGGCGAAGTGTATAACACATCTGATAATCTGCAGGATCCTGGCTACGCGACAGTTGATAGCCTACACAATAAAATAAAAGATGTGTTAAATGACTGAAAGAAGTGAACTACTAATATCCACATTCCATACAGCGTGAACGAGACGGCTGTGTACGCTGTAACCAAAAAAAGTACCACTACACTTTAGGCGAAAAATTTTCATTTAACTGATTTTGTTCGAAACGCATAATGACATTGTCTCAAGTTTGACAACGGATTGACCAAAGTAAGGGACCCATTCCAAACCCTGGAGTCCTAAGCGACTGTTACGTCCTAACAGCACGTACCTATGACCCCACCTGGATCGAACTCATGCCCTTTAGGTTACAATTCCTAGGTCGTAGACCATCCAACCACTTACACAGAAATTCAACTATCCTGTTGATGTTGGGTTTTTTTTAATTCTTATGGACAAGAATCCCTATCACCATATACTTATAATTGACTGAGATGAGTAGTCGTACGTCACTCATATCAAACAATAGGCCTTGCTAGCCAGATCGAGGTAGTGTGTACATCGAGCAGCCACTCTCTCTTTTGGAGGTCAAGCCCATCAGCGGTGCCCTCTGTTCGACTCAGCTCAGACAGCCCAGTCGGGTAAAACAACCCAATTTCCGGCTGGCTATCTGAACGTTCGTTCAGGTAACTAGTAACACCACAAATCAAGTTAACTATTTGCAATTAACATAGTTCAACGAGATAGAATTTCATCATAATTTCTTTAGAAACTTAGCCATTCAGTTTACACTATGTAAATGTGATCTGCTTATAACCATAAATGGTAACCAAAAATCCAAATATTTTGCATGAAATTTTATACTACTGATTAATGGAAATGAGTTGTATACCAACCACTCATGAAAATATACTTGGTTTCTTAATTATCATATATGGTATCAAGTAGACCCACATATACTGTGATCTTCATAATTTGCTTTCCAAAAGAAACCTCGGTGAAATTTCATGTCCTCAAGCTGTGTGAATTGCTAATTAGTATGTAAACTGCGATCATATATGAATATTATGAACAAGCTGTGTTCGAAACGTCATCATCATCAAGTAAATGATGCCATATCATTGTGTGATATATATGTATTCAATAAACAAATAATTATGGAACTACATGGGAGTATAGCACTTCGAATTGCCACACCCCAATTAGCACTTAAGGGTAGACAAAAGGGAGAAAAATGAGATTCAAAGAACAATAATAAGGAGGAATGTGAGGGGGGGAAGAAATAGTGATATGGGGAAACATCAGGGTTTAGTGGATATGGGAGAGATGTGAATGGACCTGCACCATTGGGAACGATTTCCAACCATAGCACCGATTGTCTCTAACCATTGAATCTTTGCATCCTGAGGACCCCGACGAAGTCGTCTAAACCTCCCCACGAGGCTAAAACCAACAGTTAATGACTTTGTGAACTGATTCTATGTTTTGGTTTGGCCAGTTCTAAATTTTTCAAGCCAACCCAAAGCGAGCTAACATCATTGATCGAGGAAGGCGGTGGCTTGTCATGCGCGACACATGTCATAGCCATCTCAACCGATTTAACTTCACAACTTCATCAAATAACTTGCCGTTCTCACTTAGCACTCTACACCTAACCTCACCTTATTCTACCACTTAAGACAGGAGATAGAACGCAAACATCTGTCGTCAAAGACAGCTAGCCAGGCTTTTCATATCTTCCACTTTCAATGTCCATGTCTCACAGACATGAAGAAGGGTAGAACAAACTGCTGCGTAGTACAAACATCTTTTGATCAATACCTAGATATTACGTCTACATGAGAGACAGTGTAAACTGGCAAATGCCACACGAACCTTCTGTATGCGTGCTGAAATTTCGTCAGCGATCAGCTTATAGGGGTAGATGTAACTTCACTCCCTATCTTCAAGCTAAGAGTTGATATAGTGTTGTCCTGCAACATCTGTCTGTCTGTCTGTTTTCGACATAGAACTTTGCACAAATGTGCGGAAGTTCAAGTCGCCACATCCTGCAACATCACCTTCCATCCATCTGGCAGGAGCAAACCGCATGCCAAACATCCGAAGATTGATGCTCAAAGTGTTCAGAAGACTGCATTTCATCAGTATCTTCACCTAGGAGGACTCAATCATCGGTCTATTCAATCCCTAAGTCACTGAATTCAGTCAGAGTTAATTACATCTATAATGAAACTAAACAGAAAAGAAGACATAGTGGGCACCGCTGACGCACACCACTGGTTGTCATCACATCAGATGACAAACTCTCCGTAAGTTTTTACACGATTACGTGAGTTCGAATACAGTGACTTGATTAGTGCAGCGTACTTTCTCGACATTGCCTTCACGGTTAAAAACTATCATAGTACCTCCTCTCGGTCGACGATTTCTCCAACATTATATTTGTGTCTCTGAAGTGTTCTGTGTAATATTCTTAAGGGAAGTGTTTTAATGAAACTAACTTTCACGTGAGCACAGTTACACTAAAATACAAAATAAGGGGTACTCTCTACAAGTATACACGCACACACACACACACATCATCACACTATGTATCACTAAACTATGTTATATGTATTGTATACATTCTAAACTTCCATAAGTATTTGTAAGTTTGTTTACCAATTCACTACACGTGACTGCCCACTATATACTTAAACACTATAAGTGTGTAATCTATTTTGTTAAACAAGCTTGCTGCAATACAAGTAGGGTGCTGTATTATTGAACAGTTGCATTTTTTTCTTTACTTTTCTGGTAGAAAGCAGTACACTGCATATATAGTGAGAAGTCCATCAGTGCTTTACTTACTCCAGTCAGTGTCCCTCAAGGTGCTGTTTTCTTTCTCTTCACATGACTTCCTCCCATTCTGATGAAGCCAGTTTTGTGAAGTACGCCAGTGATCTGACTGTTTCTATGCTTGTCACACATCTCAATCAGATTGTTCAAAAATGAATCATTTTTCTTTTATTAAAAATTAGTCAGTAGTCTTTGTCAAATGGTCTTACCCTGAATTCCTCTAAATACCATGGTGTTAATTTCACCGTCAGACACAAGCGCGACTTACATGAACTGGTTCGTTCGAATGATGATACTATCATAGATGGCATTGAAGCTGAGACTGAATCGAATACTTTGGATTGTGTACTTCCTCTGTTCTTTCCTGCTCTTCCCCCACATCATATTAGCTTCGAGAAAGATATCTCGTTTAATCTTCTACGTAGAGAAGTTAAGACAGTCTGGTAGTATCACACAGCCTCTACTGTCTAATTTTTTTTAATTCTTGTATTTTACCGAATACTTCTTACTGCCCTCCTCCTTAGTCTTCCCTGAGCTTCTTAAAGAACACTTTGGTACACTGTGAATAGCGCTAAATGCTGTTAGTAGAGTTTGCGGTGTCACTAAACCAACTTGAGATGATACAGGAATGTCACCAACTAGCTCACACAGATGTTGCCCGAACGAACGATCTCTCTCCTGCGACGAACCATGTACTGGCCAGGTATGAGAGAAGACGTCGAGAAGTACGTAACAGCGTGTACGCTATATCAGCTGATGAAAGATGATCAGTACATACGACCGTCACCGCAGCCGATCCCAGTGACAGCAGTAGACGACCTGTGGTCCGTAGATGTGATGGGACCTTTTCCACAAACGTCCAATGGTAATCAATATCTTATGGTCATGACAGAACATGCCACACGATGGCTAGACGCAGTCGCGATCCCTGATCAACGCGCAAAAACAGTCACAGAAGCAGTGGCTCGACACATTGTTGCAAATCACGGTGTGCCAAAAGCGATATTGACAGACCAAGGTCCGTGTTTTGAAAGCGAAGAGTTTAAAGTCCGGCTACAAGAGTTAGGTATCAAGAAAATTATAACAACGCCATATCATCCACAAAGGAACGGACTGATGGAGAGAAATAACCACACACTGAAAGAGTGGCTGGCTACAAAGGGCGGTAACTGCGAGACAGAGCTTCCTCTGATTCTCCTAGCACATCGCGCGTCCGTGCAAGAAACGACGAAGAAAGCACCGTTTCAGTTAATGTATGGGAAGAGACCACGACTACCGATAAATAACAAGACCTGGCCCTTCCATCAGCATTGGAGTTTGACGAAATGGCGGACGGAGCGGAAAGAAGCCATCAACAACGTAAAACGAAAGCAGAAAGTGGACGCTGTGAAAGCCGAACTGAGGGTAAAGTGGAAGGACCTCGTATTCCAGATCGGAGATCAAGTCAAATGCAGAGATAGGCGAAACACCAGCGGATACGTGCCAGGGTCGCGAAAACTGCTACGAAAGTGGGAGGGACTATACACAGTCACTGTGAGACGGGGTCACGTATATACCATCAAAAATGCAAACAGAGACAAGCAGGTAAACGTCAACGAGCTTCAGGAATGGATACAGCGAGACAAGCCGACGATGACGCCCGCACCAAGAAGATCAAGCCGACTTCAGTCCAAACTATTTGGCAGGGGAACGAGTGTGGTGAGAGCAGGCTGCTAGCCAAGTTGGCAGACATTAATTTACGTCAATGTTTATGTCGCAAATACTGGTCGTGAGAAAATATGAACTAGATTGATTCAACAAGTAATCACAGCAGACTTTTCGTAGGCAGATACAGTTAACATAAGATGATCTGACATTCAAGAAAGTCACAAAGAGATGCAAGGCTAACTTTCTGTGAGAAACAACCAATCAGAAGTGTGTTTGTTTCCTTGAATAAGCTATAATAATGTACAGGAAATATATATAAATATGTGTTGATTTCCTTAATAAACGATCTGTTTCCTGGCCCTTGTCTTCTTTTGTTGCAGTGTTATGCTTACACCATAAGTGACTGATCTGCCACACCTATGAAGATCTAGAAGATTACTCAGTAAGTCTAGGAAGTCCATTTACTGTCTGTGATACAAACATATACATGAATGATGAATAAAAAGATAAAATTTGATTATTGACTGACATTAGTTAGAGAACAATTGAAAACCGACAGGGAGTACTGGACAGCTGTTTCATCTCCTTCTGTGGGACTTATCAGCAGAATCCTACCCACTGGGTTTCGAACCCAGGACCTTCCGGTTACAAGACAAGTTCGTAGGCGATTCAGCCCACTGGGACCCGACTCAATGACCAGCCCATGTCATCGGCGTGAACTCTATTCTCACTCCTCACTGGATGGACCCCACTGGTCACGACCTGTCACTAGAACTTACCTTCAGTCAACTTCGTCCTGCAGCCAGTCACTAGCGAGCATTAGAGTTTGTCTTTAGGGATTTGACTTGACTTGTTTCAAGTCTGCTCACGGATTAATATCAGTCGGACCGGCTGTCCAATACTCCCTAGTGGTTTTCAATGATTCCCCTCTAACCAATATCAATACATAATTAAACTTGAAACAAACCAAATCCATACAAACAAATCCTTGAAACACAAAATAATTGAGCAAACAATATCCTTTTCCATAAATTCCTCTTCTGACTCTACAGTTACATATATGTTTATATACACAAAATATTCAAGATTGGTAGTTAATAACAAGATTGGTGTTTTTTAAGTAATATCGATTTGTAAAGTAAGATCAATGCAATTACAGCTCATTAAAGATGCTTAAATTATAATAATAACAATAATAAAGACATAATAGCGAATAGAATAACAACTAAAATTAGGAAAATCCAACAAAATTCAAGATAATTCAAACCTGAATAGCCAAGGTAATGATAATGTCTGAACTAACTTCTTTGGATGCACAAATTAGGCTTGTTAATATGGATCCCCACAGCCTCAGCAATATTTAGTAGTCGAACTCTTAAGGCGAAATTGAGATTTGTTGGTATGCAGTAAATGACCCTGAAAGCATGGTTAACGTCAATCTTCTGTGTTCTGTATCCACAAGATAAGATAGAATAGCGCTACGAATAGATTTTGTCTGTCCTTTATTTAACTACTTCGCAGGATGATGTTCGGAAATCCGACAAGAAACACGCCTAATTGTACGGCCTATGTAACTGGCTCACTACACAGGAGCAGTTAAATTGTAGATACACATGGAAGAGGCGAAATTAAGCGGTTTGTCTTTTACTCCCGAAAGCAAAAGAGGAGTGGTTTTGAAGACACAGAGCAATTCGGCAGCAGGGAATGCTCAGACATTATCCTCAACTCGGCCACCTAGGCTGGAATGATCCTCAATTTTTGTGAAAATTTCCCTAATTTTAGTTGATATTCTATTCGCTATTATATCTTTATTATTATTATTTAAGCATCTTTAATGAACTGTAATTCCACTGATCTTTACAAATCGATATTATTTAAAAAACGCTAATATTGTTATTGAGGAAACATAAAATGGACTCACACAAAAGACTTGGAGGATCTGGACTTCGCCGATGATATATGTCTGATTTCCCACAAACTGGAAGATATGCAAGTGAAAAGCAACAAGTTGGCAGAAGAAGCATCCAAGAAGATAGGCTCTCAGGTGAACATAGATAAAACAGAGAAGATGAAGATTCCTGGCCAACACCAGCAACAACAACAGACAACAATCAGCCAGCATAAATGGGAGGAAACTGAAAGTAAAACCTCCTTTCCAACGACCTGGGAAGCATCGTCTCAACTACAGGCAGACAGAACTGTCAAGAATATTAAAGCAAGGATCGCGAAACCAAGTCAAGCTTTCATTACTCTCAAGTCTGTGTGGAGGTCAACAACACTCAGCATCAAAAATAAGATCCGGATTTTCAACTCCAATGTCAAGTCAGTGCTAATATACGGATCAGAGACTTGGTGCGTCATAAAGAGCATCTCAAACAAACTTCAGACGTTCATTAACAGTTGTCTTCGCTCAATACTCAAGATCAGATGGCCGTCTGAAAACATCAGCAACAGGGATCTCTGGGAGCGAACCAACCAGGAACCGATTGTGAAACAAATAGGCAGGAAGAAGTGGAGATGGATTGGCCATACTCTGAGGAAACCATCAAGTCGGCGGCACAGTGGTTAGGACTCTCGCCGACCATGTACATGGTCCGAGGTTCGATCCCCTGCCAACGCACACCTGATATCTATGGTCGGCCCGCAAAATTTGGGTTACCGATATCCATGCTGAAAATTCCATACTTGTACCACAAATACAGTGTGGAATCAAGCTGTAATAAAAAAAAATTAAAAATAAATAAGTGACATCACTAGACAAGTCATTGCTCGAGTGGAACCCGAAAGGGAGGCGGCGAGTTGGTCGTCTGTGCAAGGGTGACTTGGAGGAGGTCATGTGAAGAGGAGATGAAAGCATGTGGGCAGACTTGGAGCGGAGTGAAAAAGTTGGCAGAAAACCGAAGGCAGTGGAGACGCGTGGCTGAAGCCCTATGTTCCTATAGGAATTAAAGGATATAACAATAATAATATTGTTATTAACTACTAATCTACAATATTCTGTGCATATAAACATATATGTAATTGTAGAGCCAGAAGAGGAAACCACCGCAAAGGATATTCTTTGCTCAATTATTTGCGTTTTATAGATATCTGAATGAAGATTTCCGCCATATTGAAATACTTGAAAATTAAAATCCCCAAATAATCTAAACAACAATAAGGTTTTTTTCTTATTTCATGAAACATTTTCCGAGAAAATAATAATAACTAACTAACTAAGAAGAGTAGAACCCAAATAAAAACAATTTAAATTACCAGGCAGCAGGCGAGTAACAACCATAATCGACTTTAACAGTGTACCCAATTTCTCAAATAAACGTAAATGCCTAAAATCATCCACAGCATATTCTGTTGACTGTGAACCATCGGCACAATTTTCTGTTCCTGTGGCATTGCTGTTAACAGTTGCATTTAAATTTGTTGTTGTTGTTGTATTTTGTATTGTAGTAGCAGTGGTATTACTACTATTATTATTACAACTTTCAAGTCTCTCGATAATATCTAATCGAAATTGCCAAACTTCTACAACCATTAGCATTTGTGGTTCTCTAGGCCAATGGGCTATAATTTCCAAGCTTAATAGATCTTGTACATGCACAGGGAAATTAGCATCCATTGTCTGTTTTATTGTTGCTCCAATCTCAGGATCTTCTTCTACATACACCATCTAAATGCATGAATAATGAAGAAAAAAGTTACAATTACACATAAACACACATACTAATGTATGGAACTGCATGACATAAAATGGTTTACATACTATTTCGAATATTTAAAGAGTTGGATGGTTGGAGGCTATCGGCCACAGGAAGCCTTGCTTGACCTAGGTACTCGTCAGTAATGTGTATCTGCAACCGTGAAGAAACTCATGTCCCTTCTGAGAATCGAATCCGCATCACCCAGTGCTGCTGCTGCTGCTGATAAAATTCAGTCTACACCAAAGAAGGTAATAGACACATCACACTAGTTACCAGTGTCCAATCAAAATATCCACTACCGTCCTACACGAGGTCAATAGCGAGCCCGAATGGCTCAATGGTAACGTCTCTGACTGCAGCCGGAACTGGGTGCGCGACTTCGAATCTCAGAAGGGACATGAGTTCCTTCATGGATGCAGATACGCCGGGCTGACTGGTGGTTGTCAACCAGCACGAAACCTAGGTCAAGCAAGGCATCCCGTGACCGACTGCCCCCAACCATCTAATATCATCAAATCAATGTGCACCGTGATAGCGGGCTACCTAGAATGGTGGCCACATTACAAACCTGACTGATAGAATTCAGTCTGCACCAAAGAAAGGACTAGACACATCACACTAGTTACTAGTGTCAAATCAAAATATTTAAAGAGTTGTTGATATAATTGAATATCAGTGTTTTTAGAATGAAAACTATTTGGAAACATTTATTTCCCGGATCAAAAATTTAACACAAGCATTGGCCTCCACATTAAATCAAAAGTGGAGACAATTCAATTCACTTATAATTTGGAACGTCAGGAAGGACGGGGGAGCTACCAATGTTAGACTGTAGCATAAAAAGGAAAGAAGATGGGAAGTTAAACACCCTAGTGTTTACAGGAAACCAAATTCACACATCCAAACAGATATTTGTACTTCCGATCATCCTACCCTATGTCAGTAATAATAAGATTGGTGAAATGTTTACGTGATAGAGCACAAAAACTAAGTAGTACCAAGGAAAATCTAAGACTGGAAGTGAGATATGTAAGAGAAGCTTTGAAACTCAATAATTACCCGGATAAATTAGTCAGAAAGTATGTAGGGAAATGTAGAAATAAAATAAATAATAAAAGTAGTAATAATAATAATGACTAATAATAATAGTAATAGTGACATTAATGACGACATGCATGTCAAATATGCGCAAGACAACACCAACAATAAGGAATCCAAATCATCAGTAGTAATTACATACAAGGAACGAACCTCGGAAACCTTACGCAGAATTCTTAACTATGCAGGAATAAAACAGGCTGGCATTAAAACCCACAAACTCAATTAGAAACAAGCTTTGTCGGTTAAAGGACCTTGTGGAGTCTTTAAAATAAAACAATTAAGTTTGTCTAATACCCTGCCTGTAATGATTGTCAGATCAAATACATACGTCAAAGTAATAGAACAGGTGCAGTCAGACTAGCCGAACATAAAAACCTAGCAAAATCTAGATTGGTTGACCCAAATAAGATAAGAAATCTAGAGAACACTTAGTTCAGCTATAACACTCACTACATGCAGTTACACACAACCATACAATAGGATGGATGGGATAGGATGACAGTTTTAAAATCTAATGTAACAGCAGGGTGGAGGGAGAGATTGATAACAGAAGCTTTTTCTATCCAATCAACATGTAATAGGACTGATCCAACACCTGTCCACATGGACATCTGGGGAAATTCTACTACCCCTACGACGACAAACAGGAGAGAAAACAGAAAACTATAAAACTCAAGTTTCGAAGTTGTGTGATTATCATTGATCTGATTATGAACAGTAATAAATTTTGTTCGAAACCATTTCATCCAGTAAATATTATTGTTTCATCACTGTGTGTGATACATCTAATAAACAAACTAATGTGGAATTATTCGGTAACATTTATTTCCCGATTCGAAGATTTAAAACAAGCAACAAAAGTTAAATAAGGCAAGATTTAATCAATTCATCAAATCTCAGGAAAAATCTCTTCAGCTGAATACTCTACATATACACATATATACCGTTAGAACTACACAAGCAGTTTGAAACTGTGTATATCAATTTGAGTGTGTTTGTGGAGGAAGCAAATACCAAGGTCATAAAGACAGGCGACTGTCTACCCACATATGACGAAGTGGAGCATCTGCCAGGGTGGTTAAAAACAGCTGAAGTCAGATGGCCTAAAAGTTCAATAACAAAGCACTTTGTAGACTACGGAAATGATATCGACGCGGTCGTGTCATTTACTGTTGTCATCAGACGAAGAAACAAGATGTTTGCAGTTGCGGAAGCTTGTGCAATTGATTAGAGTTTAGAAACCAGGTCTCTATGTACAAAACGAAATGGTAATTACTCTGAATCTACCATGGTACTGAGTCTTACTTGTTACTTGTTATTGTTGCTAATAATATTTTATTCTGCTTTTCATTGTTACTATTAATAATTCGCTTAAAACTATCTTTTATTAGTAGCACTATCTTGACGCGTTTTAACATTATTATTATCATTACCGCTATTATTAGCATTACTATTATCAGTACTATTCACTTCGCTATTCTCGATATAATTAAGTTCTTTCTCTGATGAGTAATTGTTTTTCGAGTTTAACCACGGATTAATATCAGTTAGAGAACCATTGAAAACGAGCAGGAGGAGTCCTGGACAGCTCTTTCGTCCTAGTTGAGGACTGATTGGCAGTAAGCATCCCCTGGGTTTCGAACCCAGAACATAGTGACTAACTGTAGGAAGAAGTTGACTGGATTACTAGTGAGAAGTCGTGACAAGTGGGATCCAACTGGTCAAGAGTGAGGACAAATACCCGCCAGAGATGACATTAGCTGGTGGTCGCGCTAAAATCACCAATTGGTAGAAGTTACAATTCATGGGCTGGCCACTGAATCAGGTTCCAGTGACTGAATGGTATACGAACTTGCCTTGTAACCGGAAGGTCCTGGGTTTGAAACCCAGTGGGTGCGTACTGCCGATGAGTCCCAAAGAAGGAGGACGAAACAGCTGTCTAGTACTCTCTGGTTTTCAATGGTTCCCTAACTGATATCAATCCGTAGTCAAGCTCGTAAAACAAATCAACCCTTGAAGACTAATTATTTATTTAAGTGATGTAACTGAACCGCAATGCATTATTATCTTAATTTTAATCTTTCATACTCCCTTCCCCTTATCTATTTGAAAATGAATTGAAAAAAATCCACACCTGTCGTTTTGTATGATTGATTCAATGTAGTTTATCAACTTATCAGTCACATATCTCCTAATATATTCCCAACAGTGCATATACGTATTCCGTATGTGAAGTATACAGCTGAAGAGTTCTGTCGAAATTTGATGAATTCATTTAAATCCTGCTTTAATAACGTTTGTTACTTATTTGAAAAACTATTTGCTTAAATTAAAGTAAACAGGTGATGGTGACATGACTGAAAATCATTCACAAAGCGAGACGATACACCGACTCTATTAATCTATTAAGTTCTAGTGTTTCTCAGTGAAATTATTTCTTCTTGCCCCATATTTCCACTTATTGTGGCACCGTCTCCTTTACGTGTATCTTACCAGTTTGACTACTGTGATGTGGTGCTAGCGCTAGTTACATTAGGCGTACAATTAGGCATGTTTCTTCATCAAATTTCCGAACATTATCCACCAGCATGGTTAGGCAAAAGCCAAACAATCAATTTGGACACTTATTTCTTAATTACTCCCCTTATTTTGCCAAATTTATGAATTATGTAATCTACTTTTGTTTAATCTTTGCAAATGTTCCTACCCTTTAAATGTTGCATTCATTTTCTCGGTTAATTATCATCTTTGTTTGATATATTCATATTTACTAATTATAGTTAACAAACTTATCGCCATTGGATTGGTAAATTTTTGTAAATAGTGCTTTTTCGCTCAAACCTTCGTGAAACTGTCGACGATAGCTCCATGTATGGCCATTCATATTCGTCCCAACCCCCAACTAATTATATTTCAGAAAATATTACCCATTGAGGAAGATATTGGCTCCTTACTATACGTAACACATGTTCCAGTGATTTCCATAGACCAAACTTCACGATACTATAGAATGACCTTCACTATCTACCTAGCCTCGTCACATTTCTCCTTCTAAAGTAAGTCGCTGAATAAATATGCATTGCCACGCTTAAATCACCAGTTGGTAGAAGTTAAAACTCATGGGGGAATTGAGTCGGGCCCCAGTGACTGAGTACTACAGATGAGTCCCGAACTAGGGCGAAACAGCTCTTCTGTATCCCCTGATTTTTGATGGTTCTCTAATTGACAGCAGTCCAAATCGAATCCCTAGAAACTAACTCCTGAAAATTAGTTTATCTTTTTGTACCTTCTACTTTCAATGACTGTGGTTTGAAGTATGCTAGAATGAATTGCTGGGTAGCCGAATATACTGGCAAAGAGTATAGTTAATCTACCCACCTATTAATCATCAACATCCCTATGGTGCCGCCACTGGAGCCATACCACTGGGTCCTAACAGGTCAACTGCCAGATTTTGGTCATAAGCCAACATTAATTAGTAATAGTAACATGGAAAAATGTGAGGATTTAATGGGTACAGGAGATCACAAAGTGTGAATGCGTCTACGACACTGACGATTTGGAACCATATTACCAATAGTCTTCAAAATTATTGGTCCCCCAACCAGGCAGTCCACATCTCCTTAAGTGGTTCAACTGTTAAAAATTTTCATAAACTGACGCCAGGTTTCGGTTCGACGACCTCACGCCCAACTCTTTTCCAACTTAATCATACATCAGCTAACGTTGCTCATCAAGGAAAGCAGAGGCTCGATATGCGTCATAACCTCTTCTAACCAACCATCTTAGTTCATGTAGCTTCCCGACCTAAACGATTAAATTACCCTCTTTACCTCATACCTAAGGCCGAACCTCAATAGTAAACACCATATTGTACCGCTTAACAAGGGAAAACAATCAAGAAACAAGTAATCCATAACTAAAAGGGTGCACTAAGTTGTGCGGAACAGATTTTTCCTGTACTCGTCTATGAGTCGCACGCTGCATGAGGGTTGATACTATCCAGTTGTTTAGGCTGTCTGTCTGTCTGTCTGTCTGTCTGCCTGTCTGGATTCAACATAGAACTTGGCACCGAAGTGCAGCAGTTCGAGTTGCCACGTTCCAAATAGCACACAGAGGTAGACAAGATGAGTGAAGAGAATCAATACAGTCTGACAAGTATAAGAGTGAAACAGAATGGGTAATGGTAGAAAGGAATATGAAAGATTACAGAGACTGAATACATCTGCGCCATTGACAACGATTTTCAACCATGTCACCTATTGTCTCCAGCCATTGATTCCTAGAGTCCCGAGGGCCCCAACCCGGGAGTCTGCATCTCCCTACCTGACTCAGTTTAACTGTCAAGGATTTCATGGATTGATGATGCCATGTTTTTGTTTGGCCACCACTGGCTCTTTTCCAACCTTCACCTATATCAGCTAGCAATGCCCGTCGGGGGAGGCGGTGGTTAGGCATGCGCACCACGTGACCTAGCCATCTTAGTCTATGTAACTTTATAGCCTCGTCGATTGATTTTCCCTCTTTGCCCAACACTCTACGCCTAACGTCAACATTACTTACCTTATTAAACCACCTAACGTGAGACAGAGATCGCAGACATCTATGATCGAAAGCAGTCAACCTTTTCATGTCTTCAACTCGTATTGGCCATGTTTCAGAGCCATAGAGAAGGACGGAGCGAACTGATGAGCAGTACACACGTCCCTTGGTCGATAACCGGATGTCACGCCTACGCCAGAGATGGTGTAAGTCAGCGAAAGCAGCTCGAGCTTTTCGGATCCGTGCTGAGATTTCATCGCCAATCAGTCCGTTGGTGCTAATACAACTTCCCAAATAGGTGAAGTGGTCAACATGTTCTATCACTTCCCTCCCTATCACTAAGTTAGGAGTTGACGTGGTCCAGTCCTGTAGCAGCATCTTACATTTTGTAGGGGCGAATCGCATGCCAAACATACGGAGATTGCTGCTCAAAGTGTTCAGAAGACTCTGCATTTTGTCAGCAGAGTAACTGTAATCTCTCTGATGAGTAATTATCATTACTTGATGAATTTAAAATCAACAATAACGAAAATAATAATAATAATAATCCCAACTTACCATATTATTCCTGGCACCAACTTCAGACATACAATTCGTATTACAGACAATGCCATTACGGGCTTGTACAATAGCGTGTATTGACTTAATTATGAATGAACGCAAGCATCTAAGAGGGGGGGATAACACAACATAACAACAAAATAAGAACACTTGATGATCTGAATGCATACGATTACTGTCAGCAGTTTGAATTCAATATTAGACCTTCCAAGTAGAGTTATATCAATGTCTGTACAATAATGATAATATTTTTAAAAACTTCATCATGAAATGTAATTCTGACAATCTGAGATGAGATTCATACTCCCGATAAAAATTTTCATAGAGAAACAGAAATATTGGGAAAAATTACCTAATATTTGGTCCCAATAAACGAGCGGCTCCATTTCGGTACTCCTCTCGAATGCTCCCATGTGGCGATGCATTCATCGCCTCTATTGAGTAAGTCCCTATATTCACACTCCGGCGGTGTTCCTCACATAGATAAAAGGGTGAATGAGAACATTTGGAGCTTACAAAAGAACTGGTGGACATGCTGGTCTATCTGGGGGACTGAAAAGCCGTGATTTCAAACCTGTATGATTTACACAGGCTCGAGAATCCGAGAGGATCGAATGGGGTATGGACCTGGGTTAGTTACCGGAAACCATGGGAACGCAGCTCCTGATGTTACTCCACTACCTAGTGGATAAGACTTCAAGTTGGAGGATGCGCCCTTAAAAAAACCACCTTAAGTTTGGGCGTAAGGTCAGTGCCGCACAATCCCAGCTCTTATTAAAGATATAGATATTGTTTATTTATTTGCGTTTCCAGTGGAACAAAGGGGTTTATGCTTCAGCTTTGGAGTTCCACTAGCGGTGGTGTTTTTTAAGAGGTGGGGTTGTTAGCCTCACACCCAACCTTTCCTCTCTGTCAAACTTATAATCGGCTAAGAGAAGTAAATGTGTGAGACGGCTAGGAATCGAACCTTATACCACGTGCGTGGTTGGCGACCGTTCTACCACTGAACCACCAAAGCACAAAAATCTGCAAAGCTCTATACAAATTTATTGTATGCGACATTGCAGTATGCCAACTTTAAGTAAAGTTACTAGACACTGGATTAAGCCAGTATATTAAGACTAATATCACACATAGTAAAACCAGGGATGGTTTGAATTAACTAAAGCGTCTAGGGGAAAATTAATGAAATTCACTCAGTGAGAGCGTTTCGAAAGGCAAGCTGAAACTTAACTACACTGAAACATATATATAAGATGATGAGGCAGTAACTCATCGAAGAAGACATTGCGAAGTGGTCGCGCTATGTCGTGAACTGGCAGAAGTTAGAATTCAAGGACCATTGGATCGGGTCCCAGTGGCTCAATGGTCTACGAGCTCGCCTTGTAACCAGAAGGTCCTGGGTTCGAATCCCGGTGGGTGCGTACTGCTGAGGAGTCCCAAACTAGGACGAAACGGCTGTCCAGTACTCCCAGGTTTTCCAGTGGTTCTCTAACTGATGTCAGCTCATGATTAAATCCTCCATATATATAAGACACTAATCAGTCATTTTATTATCGCTAAAACACAAACCTGACACATTATGGACACCAAGAGATACCCCACAGAAAATCTGTGAGAGGGCTGCGATAATTCCCGTATACCAGACTGCAACAAGTGTTTATCTTGAGGAATTAATCCACCCAACCGCTAGGATCTTGAAATGAAGCCCTATCCACGAGGCTAAGTACCAGTGTTTCCATGGTCGTCATCGTCCAAAACAGGTTCATACGCCATTCGAACCTTTCGGATTCTGGGGCCTATGTACACCGTAGATTTGCAATTAGGGTTTTTCAGATCGTCTAGGTAGACCAGTATGTCCATTATAATCCGTTCGCAAGCGCCATATTTCCACATTCACCCTTTCACTTTTGTGAGAAACACCACCATGGCGTGAAGCCCAGGGAATAGGTCCTACCCAGTTCAGGCTATGCACACGTGGCCACGTGAAAGCACTTCTAGAAGGTCGAAGTCTGTTCACCTTCGGCTATTGCAAGTTGTTTATCGGGGAACTATAATCAGTAAGCTGAATATAGCCATTTTAATGCATTACTACTCAATTTAGCACAAAAATTTGGACTTTTATTGAAAATATATGTTGAGAATACAGTTCAACCAGGAAAAAAAAGAACTATAAATACACTTGAGATTGAATCTGCATCCCCCTAATAAACAGAAACAGAAATTCTACCAATCTTTCTTATTTACTTTTCACACCTCAGACAGGCTTGCTGACCATCACAGACAGACTGTGTTAAAGATTACTGTGCTACCTGGGATTTAATAAGCTACTAAATTTGTTTACTAGTTGAATGACAGACACATTACTGAAAACGTGAGGCGAACAAACCACTCACAAAAATTTCTGACAGAACAGTATGACAAACCGTAGGACAACAAATACAGGTGCTATTTATAGTAGGTTGTTATACCATGCTGTGTGCCGCACTTCTTGGTGGTCACATTGTACCAAATTTCAATTTAAATAAAATAACGATAATAATGATAAGTACTTCCCTAACATATGCGTCGGTAGTTTAGTGGCCAACCACATACGTGATCTGTAATTCATTCAATTCGTGACCGAAACGCTTCTAAACCTCACCCAGTCTAGTAAACTAGCAAAAGAGAAAGGGGTGAATGTGAGGCTAGCAATCCAACGGATATCGAACCTCAAGTATGAAGCTGAAAGCGAGGAAAAAAACTATCCAATATTTACTATATTCAATAAAAATGTCCTGAGAACAGTAGATGGAAAAATAAGACAGTTCCAAATAACCGGTGGAAATTCAATGCAGACTATGCCATAAATTCAAATATGTTAGAAGTCAAGAGTTGCAGTATCTTAATTTTAAGAATCTTCAGGAGTATCTTATATCTACCCAACAGCTAGACCGACACATTAGTCCCAAGGAATCTACCTAGATGGATCAGTATACGAAATGATGACCCCCCCCCAACTCAAATGACAAATGATGGGAATCACTGTATAATATATATATACATATTTGATTTGATTTTTGATTACAGCTTGATTCCACACCGTATTTTTGGTACAAGTATGGAATTTTCAGCGTGGATATCGGTAGCCCAAATTTTGCAGGCTAACCAACGATATCAGGTGTGCGTCGGCGAGGGCTCGAACCCCGGAACATGTTCATGGTCGGCGAGAGTCCTAACCACTGTCACACCGACGCACATGTCAATCATGACAACGGACTTCAAACAGACTTGAATGTAAACTTACTTTTCTATTGCAAGTTTTTCTTCGTGTCTTCGAGGCAAATTGACCATCTAGTCTACGAGAGAGAGAGAGAGAGAAAAAAAAAAGAAAAAAAGTGCCCAACTGAAAATCACGTGATTTACAAATCAAAGTAAGCAGCAAAGCCAAAAAGTACTCTATCATGTATTTTATTTGCAGATTTTTCACACAAACATACACATATATATCTACACACATTAGTAAATACACTTGCGGACTAGTAGTACAAAATGTTATAATTATTACTCAAAAGACAATTCAAAAATTATCTGCAAAAAGAAATTCACCCAAGAACACTAAATAATTTCACAGTAACATTTTTGAAAACAAACAAAAATAAAAAACGAAAAAGAAATACATCACTAATGTAAAAATCAAAATATTAGCACAATTAAATAAACAAACAAAGGATAAGACAAGTATCAAAAAGAAAAGCAGAAAACACTTTCAAAACAAGGGGGATGTACATTCAGACATATTTGTACATACACACAGGTTAAAGTGGCAAAATACAGTCAAAACAGGCAGTTGAAAGACAACAACTGTCCCCCCCCCCAAAAAAAGGCAGTGAATTTGTCTATTCATTGCACAATTTTGGAGTTTTTGTTGTTAAAACCACGTCTTGAAAGTCGTATGCAGCGGTTAAATGAAATCCCATATTGGCAATTGCAATACCGTATTCACTAGCAGAGAACCAACTAAATGCTTAAGAGGAGAAGAAATAAATTGCATTGTTAACGTGATCAATATTATCTTATAAACACCAAATAATGGAAAAATTTGATTAAGACGGAATCCGTAAATAAACGGTGAAATAGAAGCATATTTTATTAGGTTAAACAAGGAACTTTGTCAGGCAACGGACCAACTAAGAATCAATAGACTAAAAAAATATTGCTAAAGAAGTACAGATAGATCAAAAACACGCTGAAACCGTTGAGTGACATCGTGCGCCAGATGGTCAAGCAGAAGCCGAATGGGAAAAGACAAGCTGCAACTTCGAGGGTGGCATGATAGAGATCGTATGTAGACAACGTGGAAGCGGGGCCGGCTCTACAGTGAAAGATGAAATGAAGGTGTGCTGCCAAAGCCCAATGCACCACTCAGAACTCAAGGGAATAATAATATTGAAGTAGGTTATTAGGACTTAATTTCCTACGTGAATATAAAATATAACAGTTACTAATATTTAATAATGATACGAATCCGCTTTACTCGTCAAGGATCGCAGAAGTGTACTTTACCAGAAGGGCTAATAGGGCTAAAACAGTTCGCTCAACAACAGTAGTGGTCAAAACGTTCACATTACTCCTTATCAATAAACTAGTCTTAGATGCACAGCAGTACCTCGGCAACACTATATATGACTTACATACCTCAGTAACTCGAAGTTTAATCTTCTGATTTCCCTAAAATATATTTAAGCTAATGGTGACAGAAACCCTTATAAATTCCTTCCAGAGCAAACTGGATGTGCACCGATTAACAGGGAATCCACGGACTACTATATCAACTACAAGATTTACAAAAAGTAAGAACTGAAATATAAAATACGGACTGGGAATAGCGGACTTACCATTTGCCTTACAAATAAATCGATGATTGTAGAACTGTTGGATTAACAACAGAATCAGGAAAACATTGAGCCCAAAAAACAAGGACTTAATGTAAAAAGAATGCTTAAACTGGAACTATTAGTCATGTAAATTAGAGTATTACTTTCGGGTTGCAAGTCGTCACTCCTATAACCCGGTGAATCATCAAAGTAACTATCATATAGGCAGTTGAAGCGAACAAAAATACGATGAACAAGCCTTCATGGAGAGCTATAAAATTATTAGAAAGACTAATAATCAACATACGGTAATTCTCTCGATTGGACACAAAAGAAACCCCAACAAAGACAATCACGTCCAAAAGGTTAAGACAGAATGCAGCTTGCACTAGTATTTTAAAGCGTATTGACAGATTAAACAATCTGTAACACGTCATATGATACCGAATATAGATTAAAGCAAGGAGTAAACGTGGTGCACTATGTAATCCAATCATGTAACGCCAAAAATATAGCTGAGGTGTAATCCCTGTAACCGCACTAATAGACGGAACGAAATTTGACACCTACAGAAGGGATGTAAAAACTATTTTAATGACATACTCCACAGACCGACTCTGTAACCTCATCGAAATTCAGGCATACAGAAACCACGAAACAAATAATTAGTCCAAAAAGGGGAAGTGACACACCGGCTACCACAAACAAAGGGAAAGGAATATTATATAAGTGAGAAAACAATTCTCTGTCCTTAACACCGCTCATATCAAATGCCGCCACCACTTAACCTTCAACCTTCACGCTTAAAACTTCGCGTCCTGATTTTCATTAACTCACTTCACAGTCGGTGTGACTATAGTGGTTTCATTGCATATGATCTTTATTATTCTTTGGAGGACTGCCACTTTGGTCAATTTCAAAGATTATAGGATTCCAACCAATTCACTGAGAAAGCTATATTTGGTAACAGGATGGTACTTCTTCGGTAGTTGATATTGTTTGATAGACATCCGTTTTCAATGATTGTATGGAGAAATATCTGTAGATTAACCTAAAATAAAACATAAACAAAGCAACCAAGGGTTGGTCTCCAGGAATTTGATTTCATTGCTGACAAGAATTTGTAGTGGTAGGTAATTCCCCAGAATTATTAACGGCCACAGCACTCATCACTGGACATTGGATGCTAACCCTCACTGTTTCAGTCGATTTGTTTTGCTTTGTCTTTGGTCTACGCGAAGCAGATACTATAGAAGTTGTGGCATTAGATTTTGCTTTAGAATACTTCCTACGACCCGTGAACGTCAACACCCTCAGCCTCTAAATTGGTGAGCCGTATCGCGAACTTCATCACTGGTAAATATGCAGACAAATCCGGTGGGTTGGTCCTATTTCGTGTTTTCCTTTATTTTTTTGAAATTATATTTATTTCGCTATGAGTGAACATACGCCTAAGATCATCTGTATTCGACCAACCAGCAACACTGTTCCCCTCATGCCATTTTGGCCGGATAATGTGGAATCGTGATTTCAGTTGGCCGAGTCTGATTTCAGTCAGCATGCGGTAGCTGACCAACGTTCACAGTTACTTGCACTTGTCCACACTCTACCGTGGGAATAAAGCAAATGAGTAACTGTGCATATGTCAAGCCCAGAGGTAAGTAACCCTAATGAGTTGCTCAAGGCAACCCTCCTAAACGGAAACGACCCCACGGACCGACAGCATCTTGATGAGCTATTTCGCAAAGTGGAGTCAGGTGATCAGTCGGTCGTGAACATACTAACGAGAACGAGGGAAGTTATGGGCCAACGTCAGTTCGATGAGAGGCCCTTCAGAGAACCGTTCTTATCCAAACTGCCACAGTCAGTACACGCCGTGCTGGCGTTATTGTAGACTAGTTAGCTGTCTCCGCCCATAAAGTTCTAGAAATAAAGAAACGGCCAGTCACTGGAATGCGCTCATTTGCTGAACAAACTTCGAGTAGGGACACTGCAGCGACAGAGTTATGCAACTCCGTCCAGCAGTTACTTAGGTAAAACAATCCCCGTAATTCCCCGTATCGTCGTCCGAATTCCCTCAGCGGCGAAACCCTTGTGGTCGGTGAAATTCCAAGCCATGTTCACTAAAAACCCTGACTGTGTTGGTATCACATGCCTATCCCGAAATGTTGCAGAAAACATTTTATTTTGGTGGTCACAAAGACCGTGGAAAACTATCCTGCCGGTACGCGTTAGCCTCAATCATCCCCGGTGGCATTAGTCGCCTACTATGCATCTGTTATGTAGTCAACCAGGCCCGGTAGTTGGTCGACACAGACGCCGAGGTCAGTGTCCTTCCTGCTAAAGAAGCAGATCGATAGATGGAATCTACCTTCAACTGAGAGGCTCCGAACAGGAAACCCACCGCAACCTTTGATAAGAAATACGGCGATCTGAACGTCGGTCTACAAAAACCTATTAAGTAGATTTTCCTTCTTGTTGACGTCACTATGCCTATCACTGGCACGAACCTACTCATCATTATGATCTACTCGTAAATGTCCGCCAAAATCGGCTGACAGGCGGCACTACCAGACTGTTTATTACGTTTACGTAAGCCATAGCTTGTCACTGGTTTAGAGAGAGGCGATCTTAGACCAAACTTTCCGACTGATTGTTGATAAGCGCACGGAGCTTGATTGCCCATCTAACGATCTACCGCGCACAACCAACAACGTAATGCGTCACACCACAACCTCGGGACCACCCGCGACACCTGAAGCAAGACGCCTCGCTCCTGAAAAACTACAACTTGCTAGAGATGAATTCTACCACATGTTCACCCTTGGCATCATCACTTCATATGGTACCGAAAAAGATAACAACTATTGGCGGCCCACTGGTGATTACCGGCGAGTGAACGCCAAAACAACCTATTACTTCTATCTAATCCTTCACATACACCACTTGTTGGCAACATTATCTGGTGCAACAATTTTCTCGAAAATGGAATTGGCTAAAGCACACAACTCAATATAGATGGCACCAGAAGACATTCCGAAAACGGCTATCATCACGCCTCTCGAACTTTCTGAATTTCTGCATATTCCATTTTGCCTCCAGAATGCAGCACAGACATTTAAACGTTTCATTGACAGAGTATTTCGCGGCCTCAACTTTGAATACTCATACTTTGAGGGCTGTTTCATTGCCACTCCAGACAAGGAAACTCACCTTAGACACTTGGATTTGGTATTCGAGAGTTTACGCCAACATGTTGTTGCCACTGAGAATCACTCGACTTCCTCTGCCATACCATTGACTGCAAGAATATCCCCCACCACTAGCTAGTGGAGTTGAGGCGATCCTGAACATTCTGGGGCAAAATAGGGTGAAAAAACTTCGCAATTTTGACGGCTTGGTAAGTTATTACCGACGCTTCTTTCCTAACTGTGCTTCCCTGATTCATCCATTAACGGACCTTCTTCGATGGGGAACAATAAGTCCATCGAACTCGACGCTTCTGCTCAAAATGCTTTCATTCAGGTTAAGAAAGCTGTTGTGGATGCCACACTTCTTATATATCAGGATCCAACGGTACCGTTAAGTATCTCGGTTGATGGGTCAGACACTGCAATCGGCGCAGTTCTGCAACAACCAGACAGCTTTTCTCTCGAGGTGCCTACAACCAACAGAAACCAAGTACAGCATGTTCGGCAGACAACTTCTGGCTATGCACTGTGCTATACGTCATCTTCGACATTTAGTGGAGAGTCGTGAATTTATAATTTCCACAAACCTCTGACGTACTCTCTGAACTCAACTTCAGTTGAGTATTCACCTAGAGAATCACTACAACCGGACTGCGTTTCATATTTTACATCGAATATTCGCCATATATCCGGAGTAAACAACACTGGGGCAGATGCCTTGTCGCTCATTTGTTCCCTCACCCAAATAGACGGCATAGACCTTGTAAAACTGCCTCGTCTTCAAAAAAAGATGCTAAGCTTCAACATGGTTTGTCAAGAACAACTCTGCGTTTGGCCAAGGAATTCTAAGCATAGGAAAAAACACTATTTTATGTCACACTTACACGAGAGCTCCTCGCCCTATCGTACCCAAAGCTATCGCCGTAACGTCTTCAATACGTTGCATGGCTTATCCCATCCAGGTGTTCAAACTACCGTCAAGCTCGTAACTAGTCGGTTTTGTTGGCCTGGAATTAATAAGGAAATAGAGGAATGGGTACACACGTGCTTAGCTTGCCACAAATGCAAGGTAGTGAGACACACTAAAAGCCCACTTGGCACCTTTCTTCTCCCTGATGCTCGTTTTGAACACGTCCATATAGATCCGGTTGCACCCCTTCCAGAATCTCATGGATGAGCCTATATTCTGACCTGCATAGACCATTCGCATGACGGTCTGAATCAGTACCCCCTCAAGTATCTGCTGAAATAGTCACACGCGTCTTTATAGAACGATGGATCGCAAGTTTTGGAAGCTCATCCTGCATAACAACTGATCGCGGGGGCAATTCTAAGGTGGCCTATACTTTTCCTTGACTAAAATCCTAGGTTGTATGCGTTTTAGAACAATGGTCTACAATCCTCAAGCTAAAGGTGTCGTAGAACATTCACACCGATAGTTAGAGGCAGGGATATAAGCGATAAACAATACACACTGGACAAAATCACCACTTTTGGTCTTCACAGAAATACGAAGGGCCGTCAAAATTGATGCTGATTAAAATGATAACGAGCTAGTATACACCAACAAATTTACTACACTCTGTAGGACACACCAATTTTACAGGCACTAATAAGTATAATTTGAATTACAAAAACTCGGTTTATGTTGAATTTACATAATTGCCGTCATTTTCGTCTTTTGTATGTGGAAACAACCTGACAAATAATCAATCAGTGGAGCACAATAAGAGAAATAGTATCATTATCTTCGCATTTACAAAGCACTCAAGTATTTGGTGGATGGATTACAAATACATGGGGAAAAATTAAAGCTTGAAGTCATTTCCCTCATATAACTTTGGCGTGTTCGGCGTCGAATCGTATCGTTGGTTTATATCCGAATCAGCTATTAATTTAAAATACGTCATATATTTGCATAATTCTCTCAACACTGCCACCACCAGAAACATCAGAAGAAGTGAACCGTACTCGGTGCAGACCAGTATCGCTCACAGCCAGGGAGATTTGATCTACTGCACCGGGGTCAACCACCATTAGTAGCCGCATGGTCTTCTGTAGGAGTAAGTGGGTTAACACGCTATAAACTATTTGTTAGCCATTTTTGGTCATGGATACTGCGCGCGTAGGATGCTATGCAGCTCCCTGATATAGTGACAAGAGAATTTTCAAGGATGTTAAGTTATCACGAGCCAACGGCTCGAAGGATGATGCGGTAAATGTAAGTGGCTGTGGAGGTGTGCTACTCCCACTACAAGGCAAATGGAACAGAAGAGGTAAGCGGCGAAGTAGCAGGAAAAAGTATGAGGACACAAATAGAACTTTAATGTCTGCATATATACATCTTCATGCTCATTTTATAGTATCATCTAGTAGAAATATATACAATAATAATGCATATATAGTTATGTTCTCTTAGTCTTTATATGCATCAATGCGACAAATTTCTGTACCGTGAAGTTTTGCGCATCCTTTAGTTGCTATAGTAATCTAACAGTTGATTTGTTCTAGAAATAAATGGTATGTTCATGTAGTCAATAGAATGGAACAGTCTGTGCGTAGAGAATTTAAGACTCAAAACTGAGGCACAGGATCTTATTTTCAGAGGCAAACTGTTCCGTAATTCGGGGAACGTGACTTCCAAAAAGTTTTCGTAGAGTGATAATTTAAAGGCTTTTATTGTCGCTGTGCAACTTTGTAGCGAGAATTGTATGTCTTTACTGTGTGAGAGTGAAATTTTGTGTAGGGTATTAAAGAAGAATACTAGGTTTATAATAGGCCGTCTTGTCCAAGGTGGGTCA